TTTCTCATGAAAAAGAAAATTTAGAATAAAGAGAGTAAAAGTAAGATAGAGAAATTTTTATTAAGAAATTATGTGTAAAATAAAATTAGGAAGAACTCCTTTATATAGAAAAATTATTGTCTCATAAAAGGAAATAGTCGATGGGTCAGTTAATTGATTTAATCGAATAAACCTACCTTGTAATCAATTAAAAACTTTAAAAATATGGCAATCCTAATCCAAAAAAGGAGTGTGTGCATGTGATGTGTGCGCGTGTTTGGGTTGGTGTGTGGGTGCGTGCATATGGGTAAGTGGGTGTGTGTGGATACGAGCGTACGTGTGTGGTTGCATGTGTATGTGTATGCGTATGTATGTGTGTATGTGCGTGTGCGCGCGCGTGTGTGTTAGTGTGTGCGGTTGTGTGTATGTATGTGTGTGGTTGTGTGGTTGCGTGTGTGTATGGATATGTGTGTGTGTGCGCGCGTGCAGACGTGTGTGTGTTTGTGGTTGCATGCATGTGTGTGTGGTTGTATACGTGTGTGCGCGCGTATGTGCGTGTGCGTGCGTGAATGTGTGTGTTTGTGTGATGTGTGTTTGTGTGTCTAAGCACATGCGCGTGCGCGAGTGAGTGAGTGATTGCCTAGTACTTTAATACCTAATCTTGACATTTTATAATTAAACTGATCATTATAAGACGCTTAGCACATGACCTGACGAGCTTTCACACTTTCTCTCTTTTAGACTTCAAAACCCTATCCTTGATTATCACTTCAATTTGATTCTTAAATTGTTTGACTGGTGAGGCTTAAGACATATTCTTGACAACCTAAATCAATTTTCTCTATCACAAAAAACTCTCAACATCCAAAACTCGTTTAACTTATGGAGTTGTCATTTTTTAAGTTGTTTTATCAATTGTCAACATCAAAATGAATTGATGATTATACATGTAAGCTCATAAATCTACACCTCGTTCATCCTTGGGGTTCCTCATAATCTTTAGGTTTGACATATAAATCTCAGAAAAGATAAACCCTCAGCCAGCTTCCTTAATATTCAACCCAGTGGAAGCAGGCTCTCTAATTTAGAGAACACTCACTTCAAGGTTTCTTACTTCTAATGATGACACATTTGGGTTTACTAGATTTATTACATCCACTTCATCCTGAGATGATGCTTTACTAGTCTCAACATGACTACCTATGTCGACGAATGGAACCTATGTGTTTCTATGTTGGCCATAACTTAAAAAGTAATGCAAATAAGAGAAAGAAAAAGGTAAAGGATAAATACCTTGAATATTTTTTGTAGGTCTAAAGAACGAAGAACAAAGCAATGGGAAACACAAAATATGATGCCCGAAAAAATCTCAACAATATCCGCTAGAATCACAAGGAAAAAAGTAGTTTAGTTGGTGGTGTTCAAAGGAGAAAAAAGATGAAAAAGAGGAAAGAAATATCGATTTCCCCATTTATAACCATAATAAATTTAAGATCAACTATAGGGAATCAAGTTAAAATCAAAAGCTACAACCAACACTAAGGATGAGGCTTCAATCTCGTAATGACACTCAAGTGATATAAATGTGTCGTCTTCCTACCCTCGGCGCGTAAGGGCATGCGGTGACTTTAGTCAAAGCAACGTTTCAATGGCACGAGCATCAAATACGCATGTGCCTAATGCCACCTACTCCCACTCAAGTGTGCCTAACGCCACATACTCTCACTCAACACCACAACAAAACTTCATTATCTTCTCGCAGACATCCGCCCAACGACCCTATCCCCTTAATAAAATTCATGCTTGGATCAACCTTACAAATTTCAACATTAATATTCATCGATACATTAATGATTGCAAGGAGTTGCGGACAACTATTCAAGGATAGTCAAAGGTACAACAAGACCGGCCCAACTAAACGACCCAATCCAAATGAAGCACTTCAATGGATAACAAACAAGTGTACCTCCACTGTAGCGCACTTCACTAAAGCACATGTAGCTTTCATCTCTGTCGTTGATTTGAATTCAACAATCGTCCGCAATCAACGCCGAGTCAACCAAAGACCATTCTAAACGTCTCCCATATTTAAGTGTGACTCAAAGTCACACTAAGTATTACTCTCATTCACACTTACATAATTTCACTTCTCTAAAATATTGACTTGAACGTTAAAATGATAACTTTACAAGCATCCATTTCTATTCACCGACGACCATAAACACCACACTAAAAATTTATCTACGATAGTCATCGTCAATCTTTCATCATTTTATGTTACAATACATAATACTTTCTAATGCGGAGAATTTAAGTAAAACAATAAATATTTATATAAAAAAATCCTAAAATATTGAATTTCATCATCCAATTACAAACAAAAGGTTTAAGATGTTTCTAAAGATAAATAAGTAAATGAGATTTTGATTCATTTAAATTATAAAAATTAAAAATATAGTCCTTCAAATTTACAAAATGACAATTTATACATTTCAAACACAATGAGATATTTGTCTCCTACTTAGACACCACACTAATTTCTCCACACTAACATGGCTCTGTCTATTAAGGACATTGTATTTGTTCGACAATAATTCATCTTGATTTGGCTTTTAGAACGAGACGACTAGTCAAAGGTCTTGGTCTTCGTCCTTTTATACAAGTTTCCCTCTCACTTGTAAACCCCATATGAAATGTGGGTTCCATGGTCGCTAAAAATCACATTAAATTCTAACAAAAATCACTACTTAAATATATCATAATTAACTACTATTAAAAAAAATTTAAATTTCACATTTTATTAGAAATAAAATATCGAAAAAATTTATAAAAAATGACGCTCCGTCGATTTTGAAGCGATGAGTATGGAGGGGTGTATATACAAAAATGAATCAAGATTTTGGTGGCTTATTCTTTGCAGATAAAAAAGCTTTGTTATAATTAGATTTTTTGTAATTATAACTAAAACGAATAATTAGTTAATTAAAAATACTAAAAATATATATAATTTGCACTAAAAATGTTTGTCTCAACAAAAGTGTCGTCTTGGCAAAAATATTGGTTACCTTATGTTTTAAATTAGAAGCACAAGAAATATAAAGTTTTTTTTAATTGTCTAAGAGTCAGATTTATTTATTAAAAGTAAAGGTCGCAAACGAACATACTCGCCCAAAAAATAGAGTGAGCAGCTCGCTCCATTTATATTCGCTTTATAGAAAATGGAGCGAGTCAGGGTAGACATTGTCAGAGACGCAGGGTTAAAATTTTGGTTCGTCTTGCAAAAATACGACGATATCAACAAGACAAGGCGGACTCTCAAACACTGTACTTTTTACACTTAAAATTTGCATAGTTTATGTTAATATCTGCCCCGCAAAAAAGTTGAATGGGAGGAGGAAGACATATTAGAGAGTAAAGACATAAAATCTTAATTTACATTCGAAAAAAAATACAGACAAAACGAACATGTATGACAGACCGGTCTCTTTTCATCATCCTTAATCAAAACTCTCAAAAGTCTTGGTCTTTGTCATTTACAAGAGTCTTGCTAGTGTCATGGATCCTACCAACAAGAAAATTATTGAGAGCAAGACATTTTGTGTACTCCTAATTTTCAAGTTTCTATATATTAGTATATCTCCAACATGGAACTTCTAACAAGAGTCATGGGCAAAAAACTTTCTTACTCTGTTCTTCTCTTCCTTTCAATTTCACTTGCCTTGTTTTTCAAACAAACAAATGCTGGTAGTCTTGTGGTTTATTGGGGCCAAAACAATGGCGATGGATATTTAATAGACACATGTAACTCTGGTCTCTTCCAAATAGTAAACATAGCATTCCTCTCAACTTTTGGAAGTAGTCGTCCACCGCAGTTAAATCTAGCTGGCCATTGTATCCCAAACAAATGCCAAAATTTGAGAAACAGCATAAAGAACTGTCAAAATAAAGGCATTAAGATTATGCTTTCCATTGGTGGCGAATATAAAAAGACATACTCTTTCTCATCACCAGAAGATGCTATGCAACTTGCAGACTACATTTGGAACAACTTTTTGGGAGGTAATTCAGATTCTAGACCTTTTGGTGATGCTATATTAGATGGAGTGGACTTTGATATTGAAGGAGGTAGTAACCTCCACTATGCAACCCTTGCTAAAAAGCTACATGATCATTATAATTCAGATTCTAGTAAAAAGTATTACTTAACTGCTGCACCAATGTGCCCCTTTCAAGATAATATACTTCAGAGGGCACTTTCTACTGGCCTTTTTGACTATGTTTGGGTTCAATTTTACAACAATCCTATTTGCAACTTTGATGCAAACAATCCAACTAACTTTAAGAATTCATGGAGCCAGTGGATCAATTCTATCACAGCTAAGAACTTTTTTGTTGGACTTCCTGCCTCAACAAATGCTTCTCAGAATGGTTTTGTGCCACCACCAGATCTCATAAATCAATTGCTGCCTATTGTTAGGTCACCTAAGTATGGAGGTGTGATGATATGGGATAGGTTTCATGATATAACATCTAAATATAGTTCTCAGATCAAAGGAAATGTTTGAACAAGGGACAAACTTCTAATTTGTCTCAATTATGTTTTAAATAAAGTTCAAACAAAGAACCAAAGTGTTTCAATTTGTCTTCAACTATATGATGATATATTATTCAATGTATCACTTGTTCTCTATATGTATTAAATCTGAATATTTACTAGTGTATTTTGTTTCAAATTACTGCATCATGCTAAAGCCAAGAATAGAGCATACATGAATATGCAAAAATGCTTTAAAGTTTTCAAGAAATTGACAATTAAAGACAATTCAACATCCACTAAGTTAATTCACAAGAGAATCAAGTTTTTTAATAAGTTGGACAAATCCATTTGGGAGCAAAATAAAACACTCCCCCATTAACAGAACCCAGGTAAGCAATAGTAAAAGGAAAAGGTCAATGAAACAGATCTACTTGCATCATTCACAGACACCAAACAAACTCTCTTATGAACAGGTAGCCTAGCTTTAAATGTTGAATTTTTGTGGAACATCATAGTCATCAAAGTCGTATCTCTGTCTCTCTCTTCCAACCTAAGAGAAACTCTTGTTAGTCATCAAAGTGTAGATAAAAAATATTTTAGTGACTAAGAGTTGAAGACAAATTTTATAGAAAGTTGGTAATTTCTTAGGAACTAAATATATAACCATTCTATATTTCTATATACATGTTCAGACAAGAGAATTAAAACAGTTGATCACTCACCTTGGACAAGTACAACTGATCACATGCAATTTGTTCGTCCGACTTGGTAAGTTTCTTCGACAGTGCCATTATTCTGGACATTAACCAATTAATCAAAAACTTCTTGTGCAGCATTTTTTCATTTGAATTTCTCAGGTGAAAGTTGCTGATTGTAATATCAGGTAGTACAGGAAACGCATTGTTACTAAATCATCTTAATGTAAAATATAACAACAAAAGCCATACCTCTGGATTGATGAATCAATATGCTCAATCATTTCACAAGTTTTGTATTGCTCCGGATCCTCCAAGAACCTCACCATTCCATCCTTCTGGTTGATTGTTGCATATATGTCACCATCCTGAATCTGTTTAGAAGTTACTAGTGTTAAAAAATGTTTATGCAACATGAAAATGAAGGGAAACAAATTTATTATTCTGAGGACAACCATTTGTAGGACATGCATTTCAGCTTCCTTGGCACTATTTAAATGCACTGTGTTGGCTATGTCTTCGAGAGAAAGGGTCAAGTATGTCTGTGTCAATCTCTGAATATTCCGCTTATACATAGATGATACAACCTGCTTAGCCAGTCCAAGATTGTTCTCCTGAAATAAATTTTTTTCAAAGAAAACTATCAGTATAACACATAAGCAAGCAGTTTTAGAGAAAGCTTGTTAAATACTGTAGAAGATTAGAAATGTAAGTTAGACTCAGTGCAGAGCCAAGCTTCTAATCTCAATGCCAGATGCTTCAAATAAAGGATGAGTATGAGAAAGAACCTACAGATTCGAACTTGATTGCATTTGCATTGACAAATGCCTCTAAGTCTGCAACTTTTCCAGTGTTGTAAGTATGTGCTATTTCCATGTAAGGGTTCTGAAATGGGAGAAAAAATGAATAAAAGTCAAAATGCCTAAAGTTATTAACTTCAAAATATAGTCTTGAGGCAAAACAAATTATATTCATAAACATGTTTCAAATTAACAAACCAAACTAGCTAATGATAAGTTGTGCAAGAAAATTGAAACTAAATAATCAAAATTACGAATAAGAGAAAACTGAGGGAAGCCGCAAATGGAATCTTAAATTGGTTTCTACGAACAGCAACCTGAAAGAGGAAATACTGAAGCAGGCTTATTGTGGTAGGGGCTAATCATTGGTAATGACAGATTCCAAAACCCTAAGTATGCAGGTCAGATAATGTTCAGTCTCCACAGTATAAAGAGATTGGACAAACAAAACTCTTATGACTCAGAAATATCATTGCACCTCACTCACAATATATGTTCAGATCTAAAATAGAAATATTGTAAAACAAACAAAGTTCTCTTGTCCATATTTCATTGAGAACTCCAAAGCCTCAACTAAACCAGTTGCAAGTGCCTTTAATGGGAAGAGAGGGAGAAAAAAAGCTATCATTGTCAAATACAGTCGGAGAATCGAAGCAGCCAAGTGAATGTTGTAATAGCATTATTTAAGGGTAGAATGCTTCCTTTTTCCTTTTTTCCCTTATGTGTTGTTAGGGTGTAATTATTAGAACAGGTTTTGCCCTTATTTATATTTTATTAGGATTCATGTATATTAGGGCCCGAACTCATCAACCAATAATATTCAGACATTTAAAGCTGAGCCCGTCTACCAACAACAGACACATTCCAGTTTGAGGATAACAAATACCAAGGGGAAATCAGAAAGCTAAGAGAGCAATCACTTCTATTAACAAGATTAATATCCTACTACCGTTGTATGATTTAAAAATGTGCCCAAATTAAAGGCAATGTGAATATTTTGTTGAAAAAGGTTAAAGGCTTCCTATATTTTTCTTGTCTCAACTGAATTGAAGTCATACCTGACAAAAGATTTTCAGATTTCTTTGGGCAAGTGGAGAGCAATACTTGGGAAGACTGGTAGAGAACTGCCACACAACATATGTCAGGTTAGCTGATTGACCACAAATATAAGAATGAACATACAATATAATGTGTAAATTAGTCAAATTGAGAAAAATTCCATCCCCGAACAAATTGCCTTATGATACTAAAGACAGCATTTTGTTTGACATTCATAGAGAAATAATTCCAGTGTAATCTCTTAAAGAAATGAGACAAACAATTTTAAAACAATTCCAGTTAATCTCTTAAAGAAATGAGACAAATAATTTAAAGTTACTCTCATGATTATTTTCTGGGATAAAAAAATTCTCAATATTATGTAAGCGAAATTTTGGTTAAATATCATCATTAAGCTGTGTCATCAAAGCAAGAAAGAATATAAAGACTTACTTGTCCATGACGAATGAGAGAAACCAATATATATTTTTTGTAAGCTTCAATAACTATAGCATTCATCATAGTCATGGGAGCAGTTACAACCTAGAAAATGTTACCCATTAGCTACTAAGAACATCGCCAACCAAACGGTTGATATTAGAACAAAGTCACAAAACACGGGCTATACAACTAAGTCACAAAACACGGGCTATACAAGTTGCAGTTATTCTTAGATTACTTACATTATGCAGAAGGTCCAATGCTTTCTGAAAGCGCTTCTGTCCAATGCATATCATACCCCTGTAAGTGTTAAAGTTATGAGATTTTAGATGAAAGGAGGAGAGAAAATAACAGAGAAATATTATTATAATGTAATGTGTTTGATATTGACTAAATAAAGAAGACTAAACAATAACCCATATACAAAGGGATACAAGTTTCTAGTCCCAGATAGGGAAATCAAGAAACAAATCAAAATAATATTTAAGTAATATAAAAACTAATACTAAGAAAATTTACGAAACTGAGATTATACAATATTCTAGGAAATAAAATAAATATATTCAAAAATAATATAAAAGATATTATAAGATACTTTATAGTATTTTAACAATAAGAAAGTCAAAAGGCAGACACCATATTCGGTTATCATTCTAAAATAAAAAACACTGTAGTCTATATTCAAATTCCTTTCTAAGAACTAGTGAAACAGCATAACATGAAACACTAAATGTTGGGTTGACTACAATGTAGATAAGAGAATAATTCGGCTGTCAAATCTCATTTCATTTGAATACATTTGCAGTAAGCTACAGAGTCTAAAAGATGGAGATCAAATGAAGACCATATACTGCGAAGGAAGTCAATGCACATGCTAGCTATTTCAATGAAATGACCATGGGTTTCAAACTGCAATAAAAATCTTTCAAAAATACAGTTCAAACAGAGAAGACCACTGGCTTCAGTCAATGATAGAGATCAGCATGTGCATTCTCCACATATGGAGCTGGCTACCCATCAATCTGCACTGCTCTGGGTTGTAAATGATACATGGTATCTAAGATCAACAATATATTCTGATCTACCATACAGATACAATCAAAGAAGCATGAAACAAAAGAACACAATATCTCAGTCTACAGCTACTAACAACTTGGTATTGAAGGTTGAGGCCTTCCTCGATATGCAGGGAACAACACCAACATTGCAATGTTCCCTGGAATTTGACATAAGAAATAGTGTGCAGCCAGCTCAGCTGGGCACCAGGTCTGTGCCGCTGTGGAGCATAATGGGTCTCTGAAACCTACTTTTACAAAGAAATCAAAGCTCCATCAGTTTTTGTTAACATTTTACTTTTTAAAATTCCACCAATTTAGAGGACTTGGGAAGAGAACTTAAAATATCCAACAGGAGAAAGAAACTTATTACTAAATTTATACAATCTACCCGTTCCTCCCCTTTAATTTCCTTTTGACTTCTTCCCCTTCCAAGTTCCAACTACCATTAACTTTCAAGTGAAATGGCATATAAAAGATCCACAAACACTACTAATGTGAAAAACAGAGCTACGTGTAATTAATCAAGACAGAACACTTTGAACATGTGGAAATATGAACAAATCCTACAACTATCATTTTTTTCCACCTCAAGAAACAAAAACGAAGAAAGTAACGCACCCATAGTAACAGTAGAGATAAAGGTCTCGCGGATGGTCTACTTCAAAAACATCATCGTCCAATATGGATAGACCAGTTTTGTAGCATTTTGCCAACAAGCAAAGCAGAAGAAACTCTGCATGCAGGGGAGTCAAATGCTCAGTGGAGACTTGAAGTTTCCGAAGAGCAGTTAATAAAGGAGCCACCCCACGTATGGGAGCTTCCAGCAGCATTACTTGGTCCTTCAACCTCTTGCATACAGATATAACTACAACAGCCCAAAAACAACAAGTAAAAAACAAAATCACTCAAAAGAAATAGTAATTCTTGTATGAGCATAATAAGTATAACCAATTAAGAACTCAGTATACATTGAAATACAAATAATATTAATAAAAAGACATCAAAGCCTGTGTTTAAGTTGTTATAATCTAAAAAATTTAATTGACTGAGGGTAATAGACACCGTGTGTGTGTCTTTTCAAATATATTTCAAGAGAAAACCAATTGTGTCACTTTACATGTCCCCTTTCTAGTTCCTCCAATTCAAATGAAAACTCTAAAAATTTCTCTTTTTCTTATTCTTAAAATAACTTCTCTGATATCAGTTTTTCTTCTAAAGAGTTTGTCAACACTCAATTCAAAGAGTCTCAGACATAGAGGAAACAGTAACGCGAAAACAACTACTCAATTACATCACAACAAATTTTCCACAAATATTCAAGCATATTTCACCATCTTCCTACATCATGATGTTTGTTCTTAAAACCTGTTCATGCTATGGTAAGATGGTGAAACACATTTCTGTGGGTAAATAGTAAACAAACTAAATGAGGCAAGATTTGAATTCCATTATTTAAGCACAAAAAAAGAGAGTACATTTTTCTGGCGCCAGCCGAATCTGCTCCACGCTGCAAGCACTGATAAATCTTGTTATGATCGGAACTATCTCCTCAGCTTGTGGCTGATTCAAAGCAGAAGAAGCTGTGAATGCATCTCTGTAACCATAATTGCATGTCTCCAATTAAACAAAAATAGAGAAATATTCACTATTCCATAACAAACTAAACAGGCACTTGAACAAGATTTAAGAAACAGTTTCGATAAACTCCAACACAGGCACTCATATATGTTAGATTTACTTTCGCTCTCCCATATCAACTTCTATAAAAAAAAATAAAAAAAAAATACTCTCTTTCTCCTACATGTTCAAATTCAACTCTACCTCAACTTTTCAGATAGTTCCTTAATGAACTTCTCTATTTATTCCTTCAAAGTTATATTTGTAGCGCCGACACTTCAGATGGAAGGTGTGTCCGATGTCTGACACCAACACAACACCAATGCATATGAATACATTCAATCACTTTCACTTTCTCAAATTATAATTGGTGTCTACATATCAATGTTGTGGTATTCGTAGGTTATAAATAGTTTTTCATAAATAAAACACCTACAAAATATATTTCAATTGAAAAACACTTGTATTATAGCATACAACTCCTTTAGTGCAATTTAGAGTCTAAAGTAATCAATATCAACCACAACATCAGCAACAACCAAGCCTTATCCCACTAAGTGGGGTCGGCTACATGGATCAATTTTCGCCATAATGTTCTATTCAGGACCATGCTTCTATCCAAATCGTTAATCTCAAAATCTTTCTTAATGATTTCTCTTATTATAGTTTTTTTAACTCTTCCTCTAACTCTAGTTGTTTGACTTCTTTCCATCTTATCTACTCTTCTTACCACAGAATCTACATGTCTTCTCTCTATATGTCCACATCACCTAAGTCTATTTTCAACGATCTTTTCTTACTCTACTCTCAACTGACTTTAGACATGCGGAATCTCATTTAGTAGGATCATTTTAGATTGACTAATTTGAACTTATGAACGGGCATATACACTTACTAGACTTTTTGAGAGAGCTCCTGAAAATAACATGTCCATAAATTATTTTCAACTTATCTCCATAAACTCTCTAAAACAGATTACGAGAACAACTTACATTACTTGTTAGACTCTTTGAGAGAGCTCCTGAAAACAACTTAATACATGTCCGTAAATTTTTATCAACTTATTTCCATAAGCTCTCTAAGACAGCTTATCAGAACAAATTATAGCTTATATGAAACAATTTCATTTTATTTTACTTTTTAGTAATAGAAATAGCTTCTACATAAGCACTTAACTCAGTTGTTTATCCAAACAGGTTATAAAAATACTAGAAATAATTTGCTCCAGAGTCCAAATTCAAAACAAAAATTACCACCTAAGCAAAAAAAATAGTGAATATTAGGCTCCAGAGTCCAGAAACTAGGGTTTAACATATAACCAACAACAGGAACAAAAAAAAACCCTAAAAGATGATAATTCATTTAAGAGATTCGAACAAATAATTTGCTATTGTTAAAAAAACAAAGGAAAAGTAAGGAATTGCGTACAGGATATAGAGAAAACCGAGGGAGTGAATGGAAGGATCAATGAGAGAGAGAATCGGAGACAAACGATTTGAGTCAGAACGGAGCGAGTCATCGGACTGTCTCAAGATTGTGTGAAGGCGAGCGATGTCGGAGGAGGAACTCGATAGCCCTTGGATTTGAGCAACTATTGCTTCCAGAGGATCCATGCTAGGGTTGTGACTCGCTTCGACTCGTTCTAACGGCGATTTTTGAACTCGGCGGTTTCTTGGCTCGCTATTACTCGAAGTTTTGCAGTTGTGAGTTCGACGGAGAGTGGAGAAAAGATGGGGGATTTTACTTGTGTGCCGATATTGGTTGAAGAGAGGAATTTAAACAGTTAACTTTGTTAAATATTTAACAATATAAAAAAATAAAAATTAATCACACTCTCAAAAATATAAAAAGTTTTACCTAATCAATTAATCATAATTATCCGTTAGTTAAAATAAAAGTTAATTTTTTTTCAGCATTTAATCTATGATTAATTGATGGTATAAAAAAAACTTATATTATCAATATATTTTAATTAATTTTTATAAAAAAAATTATTGATGATATAAAAAAAATTTATATAATCAATATATTTTAATTAATTTTTATAAAAAAATTATATTTAAAGTTTGTTTATTTCAATTTTTTAAAATTGATATTTAGAGTTTGTTTGTTTTAATTTTTAAAAAATAACTTTTATTGTTATGCATTTTTTTTTAAAATCATTTATAAAAAAACTTAAATAAAAATATTAATGTAAATATTTTTTTATAAAATGTTGTTTTAAATATTTTATTATTTGTTATAAAAATATTAGATATTATTTGTTAGAAGAGGTGTAATATTTAGGGGTATGCAGAACTCAACCGAACCCGAAGATCCGTCTCAACCCAATAGTTTCGGGTTAGTTTTTTTTCTGTCTCATGCAAAATATAAAAATAAAAAACTATCCAAAAATGAATCCGGTATCAGGTGGGACGGATTCGGGTTGACCCTCGGGTTACCCAACCCGTCCTAATATTATGAATGCACGTGTGGTACTATTTATTACATTAATTTATTGATACATTTAGATTATTCCAAATTTTCAATAGACTTTTCCACTTTTCACCTTATAATTTAATATATGCACTAAGTAAGTATTAAGTACACATCTTCTCACTTCCCAACTTTCACACTTTTCTAGTTCTCTTACATCATGTTTTTTATTTTACATCTTCTTACTATATTTTAGTGAAAATAAAAAGGTGATGACATATATAGAATTACATCATATTTTTTATTTTAAAAAATTAACTTTATATGTCTTCATTGTTTTTCATTCATGCTAATGATTTTATTCATATTTCTTATTTAAATGAATTTTTTTAAATACTATAATAAATTTCTTAAGTCACTAAAAATTTGTTCTCCATATATTTCGGGTCAACCCGATATCGTCTTACATTAACCTGGTCTAAACTAACTTATATAGTATCAGATTTTTTTTTCGAGTTTAAGTACGGGTTAGGGTCATTAAAATAGCCCAATCAAAATTTAGGACAGGGTTAGGGTTAGTCATAACCCATCCCGACCCGTCCCTTGCTCACCTGTAGTAATATCTAACATAATCATTGTCAACAAACTCTTGTTAAAGGGTTTTTTCAACCATTGTCCAAATTTGTTGCACGATGTGGTTATTAATTGGGGCCGTTGTCGTTTTAGGATGCTTAAGTGTTGGAAAATTTCCAAGTTATCATGAATTTGTGACAGAACCATGACAAAATTTTAATGTGTTGGGTTGGAGATAATATGTTTTTGAAGAGAAAATAAAAGTCTCAAAAGTAAGTCTTAGAGAATGGCATAAGAAGCATGGTAGAAACATTGGTGAACAAATTCAACTAACTAAATAACAAGTGTTATAAAACTGAAGGTGAAACCTAAAAGGTTGGAAGATGATGAGGTTTTGGAAAAATATTATACGAGTGTAAATTTTCTCTCTCACACACACACTCTCTCTACTTATCTATCTCACACACACACATATACACACTTGTAGCACCCCAAAATTTGTCCAGCCTTTTTCTTCTACTTGATTTATGTTTCATACCATTTTGTATTAGCATTTGTGCATAGCATTGATACTAGACAGGGGATCAAGGTATTTCATCCAGCAATCAAAGGAAGAGCTTCATCTTCAAAGCTCAACCAAGAGTTCATGCTCAACTTTGTGACAACCTCAAGCCACAAGGTCTCCATCATCATCAAGACATGTCACTCAACCACTTGAATCTAAAATACAAGCATTGATTTTCCTCCTTATATCTCATGGATAATTGATTGGGGTTTTGGGTTCAAAGGAGATTTGTGACTAATTCTTTGGGGAAAACATGATTCTAAAGCTCAACACACACCTTGAAGGTCCCCTACATGGATCATGTGTCATCACAAGCCATCACAAGAGCCTCAGTCAGTGGAAATGGTCTTAGGGTTTCATCTGGTCAACAAAAGTCAACTGTGATTCAATTAGGTCAAATCTGAAGGTGAGATAATACTTAGAAAGGGGGGGATTGAATAAGTATGGAAAATTAAGACATAAAAATAATCACACAATTATTTTTATCCTGGTTCGTTTAACAACTACTCCAGTCCACCCTTCCAGAGTGATTTGCCTTTCTCAACAAGGACTTAATCCACTATTAAATCAAACTGATTACAATAGTATCACCTAAGAACAACAGTTCTTAGTCTTCTCAAGAGCTACTGATTCTAACTGAATCCTCTTAAGGAATATCCTTTACAATCAATGTAAATTAAATACAAGAGTTTTTAATGCTTCTATTAAGCTTTAATCACAACAGTGATTTTTCTCTTAAGTTTAAGTACAATGAGATTCTATGAAGAATAAGAATGAAAGCTTTTAGAATGATATGATTTCTTTTCAGCAAGAGTGTAGCACTGAAGAATGAAGTGAAGATCTCCTTTTATAGGCAGCTGAATCATGCAAGCTGAACATTGAAAAGAGAGTCTCAAAAGGTCTGAACCTTTTTTTCTTCACATCAACTGACCTTTCCTTGAAATAGGTGGCACAGAAAAATCCTTTTTGTCTGTGTAAGAGTGTCTAGCACAAATAAGGAAAGAGACGTTGAATAGTTCCAACGGATATATTCTTGAAAATACTTCTTCAGTTTCAGCAAGTTCTTCAGAGTCTGAATGAATTAGAGTATTCTAATGAGATTCAGAACTATGCTGTATCAGAGTCTTCTGCAGCGTGTGTGCTTCTAGCGTGTTGATCATCAGAGCATTTTGACACAGAACTTCAGTACTTGGCAGCGTAGGTACTTTTAGAAACTTCTGTAGATTGATGCTTTGAGAAACTCTTCAATCAATATTCTTCTATACTTCAGATGCTTCAGCTTCAGATGCTTCTGATTATCTTCAGATGCTTCTGACTATCTTCAGATGCTTCTGGCTCAGAATGTTCTGGAGCTTCTTTCTTCAGATTCTTCTGGAGACTACGCTCAAGATCTTCTGTAAGGAGCAAACATATTCTTCTGTAGGTGCATCTGGCGCTTCAGAGTCAGAATAACTTCTTGTATTCAAGGCAGATTTGCTTCTAGAGAGTTAATATAATTTCAATCTGCAGTAAAACTCTCAAACAAATTTTAGAGTATATAATTCTTAAATATAAATTTCTTAACAGTTATCATCAAAACAAAGAGTAATTATTAAGAACCAATCTGTGTTCTAACAATCTCCCCCTTTTTGATGATGACAAAAAGTATCAGAAATTTTATTTAATTGAACATAAAGAATTATAACTCCCCCTGAGATGATGAATCTCCCCCTGAGTTGAATATGAAAAAGGAATAGAAACTTCCCTTTTTATCTTGAATAATCTTCAGAGTCAGATCTTGTTTGTCTTTGTAATTGATTAAGGGTCAGAATATCTTGCAGATATGAGATTCAGAGTTTGATAAAAGATAAATGATCTGAGAAACTCAGAGATTCTTTTATAGAGTGTTCTTATCAAAAGTTCTGAAATAGTCAATTTAGATATTAGAAAGAGTAGATATGTCTGAAGATTCATTCTAGTGAAATTATATTAAATAGTTCAGATCTTTATTTTCTCCCCCTTTTTTGTCATAAGCAAAAAGTAAAAACTTTTAATAAAGACAAATAAAAGGAACAAGAGGCAGATAATTCAATGGAGAATAACAAGCTGATTCATTTAATCATAACAGAGCAAAAGTACATTGGAAAATGTCAGAAGATATAACAAGAACATTCAGATGCAAAACAACAGATGCACAAATATGATAAAAAAATCTAAGAGTGTTTTGACAAAAGCATCTTCAATAGGTCTGTGATCTCAGATTGTGATTGCTCTTGCTTTGACATCCACTTAGTCATTGTCTCAGTCTTCTCATCTTGTTTAGACATCCACTCTGACATGTCCTCAGATTTCTTGTCTTGCTTCACCATCCAAGATCTTATTTCAGATTGACCAGCTTCCAGAGCAGCAATCTTGTTTCCAAAATCTGGATTTTCTGTCTTTATCTCTGATGAAGGAAGTGGAGGTTCTGCAGCTTGAACAGAGTCAATTGCCATAGGTTCTGGAGATCCTGAAGAGGGTTCTACCAGAGTCATAGTCAATGCATTGGCAGTTGGTTCTGGTGGAGGAGGAGGAGGAGGAGCATCCAAACAAAGCAGAGGTTCAGTCTTGTTTACAATCCAGAATTGAGTTCTTTCAGCTCTGAGCTTTGCATCATCAGAACAGATGTTCTTCAGATTAGAAGCTACAGTGTTGAATCTCTTAACAAAACCTTTCCAGATGATGTCAGTCTCATTTGCATCCATAGTTTCAGAGCATCTTTTCTGAACAGTACCTAAAGACATCTGTATTTCTTGCAAAAACGTTTGAAATAAATGATCAATATTAAGTCTGGGTGGTGGTTTAAGCAAGGTTTCCAGAGTCATCTGTTTAGGTTTGGGAGTTGGTGGTATCAGTGATTTTGAGATGGAAATCAGAGGAGGGGGAACATAAGGAAAGAATGGAATTTCTGGTTTTTGAGGGAAGGATTTGTTTAAAGCATTAAGCAGATTTGGTTGAGGTATTGTGCGTGGGTAAACAACATCAAAGAATGCATTGGAGTATGGTATGAAAGCAGAGTTTGATGGTTTATCAGATGCAACT